GGAATGAGTGAATACAGAGTGTATAGTGATCCCTCCTATCTGGGATTGAGTTGTGTTATGATGCAGCATGAAAATGTCATAGCCTATGAGTCCAAGCAGTTAAAAAGTCAAGAAAAGAATTACCCTACTCAAGACTTGGAATTGACCACCATTACCCACGCCTTGAAGAATTGGTGCTACTACTTGTATGATGAGACTTTTGAGATTCACACAGACCATAAGAGTTTGAAGCATATATTCACTCAAAAAGATCTCAATATGTATCAGAGGCGTTGATAGATCTCCTCAAGAACTACAATTGTAAGATTTTGTATCACCCGAAAAAGAGCAATGTGGTAGCTGACGCGCTTAACAGAAAAAATACAGGTATGCTGACTCATCTAATTGTTTCTGAATGCAAGGTAATAGTGGCTGCACAGCAAATATGGCTTGAAGACTTGAAAAGAGTTACATGCCTAGCTCATGTAATAGTCCAACCGAATTAATCCAGAGAATAAAAGAAGCCCAATTTAACAATTCCACCATAATAGCTCAAGAAGGATGTAGAATAGGGAGTAAATCAAGAATTTCGAGTCTCTACCGATTAGTTGCTCAGATTTTAGGACATCGTATGTGTTCCAGATGACAATGAACTGAAAATGGACATAATGACAGTGGCTCATATCTCAAAGTTTGTCATATATCCCAGAAGTACCAAAATGTCTCAAAGTATGCAACTTCAGTTTTAGTGAAGCAAGATGAAAATAGAGATAATCGATCTCCAAGTGTCTTATATGTCAACAGTTTAAGGTAGAGCATCAATGCTCAGGTGGGCTACTTCAGCCATTATCGATCCCATAGTGGAAGTGAGAATATGTCACAATAGATTTCGTGACAAGGTTGCCTAAAACATGCTCAAGACATGATGTTATTTGGATAATTATCGATTGGCTCGCCAAGTCCTCACACTTCTTGGCTATCAAGATGACCGACCCCTTAACAAGCTAGCAAGAATCTATATCTAAGAGATAGTCAAGTTATATGAAGTCCTAGTGACATTAGTATCTGACAGAGATCCTAGGTTTACTTTTTGATTTTGGTCTAATTTTTATCAAGCCATAGGAACGAAACTGTTCCTTAGCACCGCATTCCACTTTTAGCCTTATGGACAATTAGAGAAGACGATTCGTACCATAGAGGATATGCTTCGAATTTATGTTCTAGACTTTAGGGGTCATTGGGGATGATCATCTAACTTTGATAGAGTTTGCTTACAATAATTGTTATCAAGCAAGCATCGGCAAATCCCCATATGAGGCATTATATAGCCACCCCTATAGGCCGGCGATCTATTGGGAAGAGATGGGTGATAGGAAATTATTTGGCCTGAATCTTGTAGAGAATACTACAACTAAGATAGTTAAAATAACAAAGAACATCTAGACCGCTCAAAGTAGACATAAGAGTTATGCAGACACCTGGATGAGGAATTTAGAATTTTAGAAAGGCGATCGAGTGTTTCTTAACGTCACCTCTTTCAAGGGAATCGGTAGGTTTGGTAAGAGGGAGAAATTAAATCCACGGTTCACTAGGCCATTTGAAATCTTAAACAGGATTAGTACATCCACCTATAGACTATCATTACCTTCAGAGCTATCCAGAGTCCATAATGTGTTTCATATGTCCATGCTACGCACGTACAATCCATACCCCTCACACATCATGTCCTATCAGTCCCTTTCACTCCACGAAAATCTATCATATGATAAGGTACCAATAGGCATTGTAGACCGAAAGAGCAGAGTACTTCGCAATAGAAAAATTCTTTTTGTCAAGGTCCTATGGCAGAATCATACTCGGAAAAAGGTCACTTGGGAATTAGAATCAGATTTCAGAGTCTAGTGCCCCCCAACTCTTAAATTAAGTGAGAGGGTGACAAATTTGATAGACCAAATTCCTTAAGGAGGAGAGTTGTAAAATCTGGGTTGGAAAATCGGCTTCCGATGATTTTTCTTATTTTTAAAAAATATTTTTTAAAGTAATTTTATTTATTTTAATTAAATTTTATTCATTTTTTTGAAAAAAAAAAGAATTAGGGACGAAATTAAAAGCAAGTTTGGAGAAAAAATGGTGAAATTTTGAGTTTAGATGGTGCTTTTGAAAGAAAAATTAAAAACAACGGTTAAAATGCAAAAATGAGAAATTCAACCACGTGAGATGGCCTAGTTAGCAGCCACGGTGAACCAGAGCACGTCGTGTGATAAAACACGCTGACATCGGTGTCACGCAAACGATCCGCATGCCTAATGATTCGACGATCCCAATCACGTCCCGTGTGAATGGATGGCTCAGATACATTTATGTTTTAGATGTGATCGGACGGACGAGATCAATTATGATGAATGGCCCAGATTCGCCCACACAAACAGCATGAACATGTAACGATCGAACGACTCTCCTCACTCTACATCGACTAGGACGGATGGCCCAGATCGACATGGAATAGATATTTAAACATCGCATCTCAGAGAACCCTAACTTTAACCGCACCCACCCTCATTAGAGAAGAAGAACCAGACGTCGGAGAAGGAGGCTGATCCTCGTCCGCCGCTGCACTGAAGCCACCACCGACCATCAAAAAAGTAAATTTTTTTCCTTCCCACTCAAAATTTGATTCCAAGTGGCCATATCAGAGCAAAAGTGACGGTGGGTGAGCTAGAAACCTTGGGCAAAGACTAGCGGAGCCGCCGCGATCAAAATTCTAAAACCACTCAGATGAGCCCCTTCTGTTTTATGCTACACAATTTTTTGACCATTGTGTTCACCGTTCTTTTCTGTGCGGGTTATCCGAAGAAGAAACCACAACTGCGAAGGAGAACTGGTGGAGCCACCGTACCCGGAGATCCCACCCGCTGGTAGGTTCGGTTTCTTTTGATTTTCTAGCCAACCGAGGCCTCCTAACATATTTTTTTACAGGGATACGTGTAAAATCGACCACAACTGACCAAACCGAGGTGAACTGCCACCGTGGGCAGCAGAGCCAGCATTGAAACACAGCGATGCTACCATGCTGGAACCCTAAAATTGGCCGAAAAAGATTTTCAACACAAATTTTGGATTTTTGGGGGTATTTTTAGGTACGTGATGAGTATTTTGATTCCCGCAGAAAAAATTTAAGAAGTTCGGGACCCGTTAGGAGGTGTAATAGATATGACGACATTTTAAAATATCCATTTGGGTAAGAATCCTTCATCTTATTCTCTAGTACGATAAATTAAGGATTAATAATCGATAATTGTATGTTTTGTAAAAAATTAAAAAAATCCTAAAAATAATTATAAATCACTAGTGGAGCCGGAACCAGTTAGTTTATATTTGTCATGAAGCCCTGTTTATTTTCCTGTACTACTTAAATTACTTACTGTTATATTGTGTGAATTTAAATTGATAATTTTTATGGTCTTCTCGATTATTTGGTTTATTTGGTTCCTCTTGTTTTGTTTATTTAGTTATCTGCTTACTTGGTTATTCGGTTATGTTAAACTATTTCGCTTGTTTCAACGCTGTTTAAATTAATCGATGAATATAAAATGAGACGTTGGTATGCTTCGGTGGTTGTTTAGATAATGAGAATATAAATAAATAAAAGTTTATTGGGTATCCTGGGAAATGGTGGATGGACCCGATACATAGGGAACCTTACTATGGACATTACCTCAGTCGGACAGAGCTGAGAAGTCTCATACCGGAAAGGTTTTGAGAGATACGGTTCACTCTCATACTAGATAAAGTATCGAGGGAATGGTATTTCTGGCGCCCATTATCGGATAGGGTATGAAAATGGTCGGGTTAATTATCAAATTTTGATACTGGGTTCACGAGTAGATGAATATCCCTATAAACCCCCAGGAGTCTCAGTAAGTAGGTTAAAAGGAAGAATTACTGATCTTATGTACGAATATAAAACGTCATTTGGTTATTTGTCTTCATAGGTTGATTTCAGAAAAATCTATAACGGTAAGTATAGAATAAAACTTTTTAGAATTAAATATATTTAATTAAATCAATGGCTTCATTAGTTGTTTTATGATTTTTACCAATTTTTATTTTTTGTATAAGTGATTAATGTGATATTCTTATTGGGTTAGTGTAGTTCACCCTTTTATTAATCATTTCAGATCAAGAGGACACAGATTCAGATCTCGATCAGTAAGAAAGTTATTAGTAGTTTACCTTCTGGACCCCTTCAAGAGCTACTGTAGGTTAACCTCTAGGATATTTACCTATTTATTTTAAGTCATTTTTTTTTTACAAGTCGGTATAGTAAAGACATTTTCATAATCCTATTGAACATTCTAATTTACTGTGTAAGAAATATAAACTATAACTTTTTTATTTGCTTCTACATTTAAATTATAAATTTATTTTCTTTAAAATTTCTGATCTTTACAATTAACCTTTCAACAAGGTGTAATTAGCGCAATACGTTATTTATAATAATTATTGGGAACTAAGAAGTGGACAGTTATGAAAAAATGTGCATTACGGATTCACAAGCATGCCCCCACAAATATTCTAATTTGAATAATGAATTAAATAATGATCACATTTTGCTCATGTTATATGTTGATACATGCATACAACCCATTCAATTGTTTTATGCACCTATAAAAAGTAAGAGGAGTTTTAATAAAGTTCAATTTTTCTTTTTTTAGAAAAAGTATTGGATGTGGTTAAAAATATTTTCTTCATGTACATGTATAGGGTTGGATTCGAATATTAAACCACTATATCTCTTTGAAATAAGAAAATAGATACAGCGATTGACAGAGAAAGTGGTCATAGTGAGGCAATTTTTCAATTGTTTGTCTTTAATTATTTATTTTAAAATCTTGCTAATATTCCTGTATGCTTATAAAATAATCAAATATATACAATGAATTTTATTCTATTAAACTATATTACTATTGTGGACTTCAATCTTCACCTATAAATACCCATTAAGCGTGAGAAAAGACGAAGTGAATTGATGCCTGCATAATTTGTAGAAACACATAAAAACATGGACAAAGAAAAGCAAGAAATAGAAGCTTACTCATCTGCAATGGACTTGGTACTAGGCTCGATGCTACCAATGACCATGCAATCAGCAATAGAGCTTGGGATTTTTAAGACATTATCGAAAGCTGACCACGGTGTTTGCAAACTCTCAGCTTCACAGATTGTCGACCGAATGTTCAACTGCAAAAACTCTAATGCAGCGATGATGCTAGACCAAATCTTAAAGCTACTGGCTAGCCACGGCGTGATGGATTGCTGTGTGATTGGCGGAGAGAGGTTTTACAGTTTGAATCCTGTGTCCAAATACTTTATGCCCGACGAAGATGGTTTTTCGTTAGTCTCGATATTGAACTTGGTTCAAGATGCCATCTTCATGAAAAGTTGGTATGTTTGATTAGTTAAATTCTTCTTGTTCTATTTCTACTAATCAACCTGCAGATCTGATTTAAGTTTTCAACTACTCAATTTTACCGCATCGTTATAAATTAATCAATTTTACCGCATCCTTATAAATTAATCACATGCTTAAGTACGAACTTTAAGCAGATATATGTTAAGTTCATATGAATTTAGATAGTTAAAAATAAAACTCATTTTCAAACAGGATAATTATAAATGTGTTTACATAGTTCAAAATTCACTTAAAATCAATATTTTGACATTGTGTAAATAGTTTAATCATATATATTACTATTTATATGACATTTGTTAGTCTCCCCTGTATTTATTTGTCAAGAAGTTTTCATAACATTATTGATAACAATAAAATTATAAATAATGACATTGATAATTTTTCACTCATTCAATATATTGTTCTAAATTTAATAATGTATTTATTAATCATGCCCAATTGTGAATAAAATAATTTAAAGCATATTAATTATCTTCTGAATTTATTAAGTGTATCAAGGATTTCTCTGTTAATTCTTTTCACCTGAATATTTAATTTTTATACATTACAAGAATATAATTAAATTACTATAACACACGTTAATATCAACAATTATATTAATATTTCTATATCGATACATATAGCATCATTTGATGGTCTTTTAACACTTGGATTAAAGATTGAAATCAGAATATTTGCTTATTCAAATTAAAAAAAAAAAGGACCAGAAGTCATATTTTGTCCTCAATTTTCTTTTGCACTACTAATAGATTCACTCGTCTTAAGAGAAAAAAAGAGTAAATTGTAAATGTAATTAAACTACATATCAAATATGTTGTATTTAGGTCATACAGATTTTTTTGTTACAATAATGTGAATAAACTTAAAAAAATATTTTAAAACTGGATTTCCTACTAATTAAAGACTTTTTACAAAATGTTCTTTCTCTTTTAGTTTTAGATTTTTATTATAGTTTTTATTTTTAAATATATTAAATATTTTTATTAAATTTATTAAGATATCTGTTGAGAAAATAAAATCTATATATGCACACAATCACACACAAAAAAAATAGTAAAAAAAAATACAAAATACAAAATTTAACGTAATTCTATAAGTATGTCTACGTCAAAAAGAAAGACCGAAAATAAATTTTTTTACTATGCAAATTGAGAATACATTACCAATAAGGTTGTAAACCCTTATATAGGCATAATACTTAAGTTTTCTCAAAATATTTCTTAGAATATACACAAAATATCCTCCAATATATATACAAAATATTCTCAAAATCAACCCACGTAAAAAATTCTTTATCTTGACTTGAATTTTCTCTATCATCATCAACAAAATAACCATCTCATTACACTATCTTGCTAAGATGCCTTCATAAGACACTATCGAGTATTACATACCCCAACTAAGTTAAGCAATGCCTAAACTTGCTAATTAGGATCACCTTGGCCTTCATATCTATAGGATTCTCATGTATAGACACATTCTTGCACAATTTCAATACCCGGTGATCTAATATTTCGAACGAAGTTATATTTGATATCAAGTTCTTCACCCATAACACTAATCCACTTATCTGCATTTGAACTATCTAGTTCCTACAAATCAACTATTTCTGCAACTAACAAGATATATGTAACTAGATTTTCATACCACTCTAGTGGTTTAATATGTTTTTTCTCTCCGTTTTTTCCAATGTTGTATGGTTAATGTTGATCAGGTGCACCATGACCTTCTTGATTAAGAACTTACACTTTATTTCTTGGATTATTGGATTGAACTACTAGAGTATCTATCTCTAACTCTACCCATTCTCTAACATCATGATTTTATCGCGATATTACTTTCTCTTTCTGACTGTCTAGTGAAATAAACTTATTAAATCTCACATCTCTATGGATAACAAACCAATAAGATTTTAGATCACTATGTCATAACCTATAATATTTCACTCGATATGCATACCCTATAAATATGCATTTTTTTACCATCGATTCAAGCTTACCATTCATTACATAAGCATAAACAGGACAATAAATAATCTCAATTGCGAGTAATCAGCAAGTGAACCAAACCGTACCTCAAAATGGGTTATGTACTTAATAACTGAAGATGAAGATCTACTAATCAAGAAACAAGAAGTGTTCACAATCTTAACCCAAAATTCATGTCGTAAACCTGAATAGGATAACATGCTTCAAGTCCTAGCACAAAGCATCATATTTGAGTTATGCAATAACATTCTATTGTGATGTTCCTATACAAGTGCAGTGTCTCACTATATTTTCTTTATTGTAGAATTCATTAAACACATGATTACAAAATTTTAACTCATTATCAGTTTTTAGACACTTGACCTTCCTCTTTGTCTGCTTCTCAATCAAGATTTTTCAGATGATAAAGGTTGAAAATACTTCTTCTTTTGATTTCAAAAAGTACGCACAAACCATCCGAAAGTAATCATTAATCAAAATCATGAAGTGTAACACCCAAGTGTTATTATTTTTAATTGTAATTATTTGAATTTTTTTATTTTAAATTAATTTAATTTAATTTTATAAAAATAAAAATAATAATAATGATAAAATTGGGTAAAAATATTATTTGGATTTAATTGAAATTGATTTTGGAAAAAAGTGGTGAAAATTTAGATTTTGGGAGTGTTTTTAAAAAGAAAATCGGAAATCGGGGGTCAAAATATAATTTAAAAAAATAGTGCCACGTCAGCACCCACCTCAGTAGCTACGTCAACGGCCCGGTCAGCAACCCCGGCCAACCAGGACCCGCCGCGTGGCAAGGCAACGCTGACCAGGGAACGGGCCACGTGGGCGATCCGCGTGCACGCGATCGGATGGCCCAGATCTGTTCCCGCGCACACGAACGGCCCAGATCAAACGTGTGCACGAACGGCCCAGATTCACAGGCACGGACGGTCCAGATTGCATCGCGATGAACGGCCCAGATTTAATTCGAATTAAATCACGATCGAACGGCCCATATTTAATCTTGATGGACGGTTGAGATTAAAAGGCAAAGGGTATAAATAACCTCACCCACACCTGACCACAAAAACCCTATCCTCCAGTGCCTCGCCGGAGAAGAAGAACCAGACGCCGGAGGAGCCAGCCGCCACCACCCACCGCCGCACCGGGGAAGTTTTCGATCGCCGATCGAGGTAAATTTTTTCCTCCTTGCTCGTTTTTCGATGTTGAGTCCGCCTATGGCCAAACCGGAGCCAAATTACCGATCAAACGGCCGAAAAACCCAGCCGAAGCCCAGCGGCGCCCCACGCCCCTCCTTGATTTTTGCCTCCGATGAGGCCCTTCTCGGCCTCCGTTCGATGCAAATTTTATACCACTGTGATCATTGTTCTTTTCTCTACAGGTTGATTGGAGCCAAACATCAAAACGCGACTCACGCCGGAGGAGCCGCCGCACCCGAGAGCATCATCGCCAGTAAGTTTCAATTTTTCATAATGTTTTGGCCCACCGAGGGCCCTAGGGTTGTTTTATCGCAGGGACCGATGCAAGTGTGGCCGAATTCGGCTGGAAACGGCCAAAAACGCCCAACCTGAGGTGAATCACCGTCGTTTATCGTTGGAGCACAGCGGAGTCGCCGTGCCGGAATTGCGATATTGGCCGAAAGGGGCCCTAGGTCTGATTTGGGATTTTTTGGGACACGTACAGGTACTGGTAGTGCGTTTCAGTTTTCTGAAAAAAATTCAGAAAAATTAGAGACAGCCTGTAGACGCACTGTAGAGCCGTATTCAGACCCCGAAACAAGTAAAGACCTCTCACCCAATTTCTTATCACGGCATTAAAGCCTAATAAATGATAAAACGGTATTTTATGAATTAATAGATATGTATAATTGATTAAGGTTGCTAGTGGAGTCCGAATTTGATGTATTTGTCGGTCTGTTTCTGCTTGATGTATTTTCTAGTCTAAATGCAGTATAGTATTTGATTGTTTATTCTGTGGTTACGTGTGCATGAATCACTCTTTAATCTATTATAGTTTGAATTATTGTGAACCCGATGTTGTGTTGCCTTGTTTGGTGTGCGCTACTGGTTTACGTATTCATGTTGATTGGGTAATTGAGACTAAGAAAAATAAGGATAGTATGTGAATTTATGAACGGATAAGTCAACAGCCTCACTAGATATCCTGGGAGATGGTGGACGGACCGGGTCCGTAGGGAACCCTACCGGGAACGTGGTCTCTCATACCGGACGGGGTATGAAGACCTTATGTGTTTTGGCGCTCATACCGGACGGGGTATGGGACGGCCCGTTTCACTCTCATACCGGACGGGGTATTGAGGTTCATGGTTTTGGCGCCCATACCGGACGGGGTATGGGGACGGCCCTGGAATCAGGTTGTAAATGTTAATGGTTCACGTGTAGAGGGGACCCCCTATGAATCCCCAGGGATACTAGTAGGCTGGTAAAAGAGGGAATCTGTTTCCTGATGATTGAAATGTAAAGGTGTGATAGATGTCATGTTATAAAGTGTGTATGATTTCATGGTATTATAAGGTTATTGTTTTCATATGTTGTTTTCATAGATCTCGCCGAGGTAAGTGGACAGCAAAGGATTTTATTACTGATAAATAAATTTATTATAAATTATGCTCCATTGGTCATTTTTGTTTTCTACCCACCTTTACTTCCGTGGCGGTGAGATAGTGTGATGTCTTTACTGGGCTGGTGTAGCTCATTCCTTATTTAAACATTTCATATCAGGAAGACGTTGTTCCTGAGCCCGTTCCTCAGGAAGACGGCGAAGGGGACGCCTAAAGACCTTATAGTTATATTTATAGTTTTTATTTCGAGTATCTCTCTTAGTTAGTTTGTTCCTTCATGTTTTGAGTATGTTTTGGTGATTGTGTAAGGGATGTTAATCAAAAATTTTATTACGCTTCTGCATTTGACATTTTTAATACATATATTTCATTTAAATATCCGGGGCTATTACAT